CTACAGCCGTTGGCGTGTCACATCTCGGAATTGACACTTTCTCCTTGTTAAATCTATGCAAGTAGTCACGTAAGGATTCATTATGTCTTTGTACTACACGATATAAGTCACTGGTTTGCTTCTCCAATGCTCGACTACTCGCAAACTGCTAGGTGAACAAGTTAACCAGATCTGCGAAGGAGTCGATGCCGCCATTCAACAAGTTGACGAACCATGTTAACGTTGGACCCGTCAGTGTCGTCCCGAACGCCTTGTACATGCACGCTTCCCGTTGATCCGGCCTGACAGAAATAGCTAACATCCGTTGCTTGTATTGAGCGACGTGCTCTACCAATTCTGTGGTTCCGTCGAACAATTTCATAGATGGGACTGCGAATTTCTTTGGGATCTCGACGTCTGTTATATGTCGTCCGAATGGAGAATCCGCATAGCAGGTTTGTGTTGCCATGTCAAGAGGACGAGGAACCCCTGGCATGCCATTATACTTTTCTCGCAACTCTTTCAACTCTTGCATGATAAAGGCCAACGGTTCCGCCATGTCCATATGCATCTGCGGACCTCCTGCTCCGAAATACGCTCCCGCCTGAGACACCCTCTATTCGGATGGTGAGCGTATGACGATAGTTTCCGGATGCTGTCGTCTTGGATTGCCGAAGTCGACATCTCCGATCATGTCGTCACGCTCGGAAATGTGTCGTCCTTGATGTTCAGCAAACAAATTGCGAAACACGTTCCTTCTGGGGAGTGGTGCAGGACGAGATGATTGCCCCCTTCCACCTGTTGAACCGGCCAGCGAAAGGGGAATGAAGGGCTCCCTTGAAGTCGACACAGGGATAGGGATCGGCATCTGCTGGTTGACGGTCTGCAACCCCGATGTCGTCGTTTTGGTTTGCAACGAATCCGGGAAGAAGCACATGGGGATGCTTGCTTCTGGAGTTGTCGCTGGGACAAGAGGTTCATAGGGTATGAGTTACGAGATCGCCGGGACACCTTTAGCATATGGATCAAAGTTTGAAAGTCCCGGGAAAGCTTCAGACGTGAATGTGATTGTTGAGGTTGGGACTGGTATGGAATCTACGCCCGACTTTGATGCGGCAGTCATTACCTCTTTCGCTTTTCGTGATTTTGACGCTATGGACGCCACCGATTGAACTTGGGATCTCAAGGCGTCATTTTCTCCTTGGAGAAGAGCTATTCGTTGACGCATTTCCTCTCTTACGGCCTCTAGCTGGATTTGAGTATCCTCCTTTGACTGGTTAGCCTCCTTGGCCGCACGTAATTCTTCCCGGGCGGCTTCCAATTGTGCCGCTTCAGCACTTTTGGCCGCACGGAGCTCCTTTCGGACAGCATCAAGCTGCGCTTGCATCTCATCAAATAGGGGATTAGAGCTTCCGGCCATCATTGATTCTTGTTTTGCAAGAATTTCCCACAGACGGCGCCAATTGTTTAAACATTTAATAATTTATCCTAGAACGGAGTAAAAAATGGGAATCAAGCAATATAGAATCAACTATAGAAGAATTGGTAAAGAAAGGAATTTGATATATGATGATCAAGAAGAAGGATCTTCACAATATGCTTTTGAATTACAATGTAGAGACTGAGTGTATGTGTATTCGTAACTGAATGTGCTGATTACATAGAGCCTCCAGATATTTATAAGAGATACATTTAATGCACTTTTGTCCGTTGACGACATGTTCCGACCGTTACGACGACATGTCCGACTGTTACGACGACATCAATATCGTCATTATTGCATCATCAATTCTGGTCAGCCCTTTGAGTAACCTATGTCATAATTACAATAACTACTCTAATTATATACATAAAACTGCCCAGATTTAATTAGCTAGCATTAATCCTAATGAATGCGTCATTGATTGCCACGGTCAACCATTTTTGAATGTAGTCCAGGTCGCCCAACTCGTGTACCAACACAACTACGTACACAACTCTGTCATGAAGTATATACGAATTGAAGTATATATATCTGTGTGTGAATTCATACCATACATTATATTTTAACAAACTAAGGAAAAGTAATGTGTGAATTCATACATTACTCTGTATATGGGGGTGTTTGGAACTAATTCTGCTGCTGATTCTTTTTTAAAGCAGAAATAGAATCAGAATCAATTAGAAGCTGGTCTCCCCCAACTCCCCAACTTCTAAAAAAACTGATTCTAGGAGTAAATTAGAGCACCACGATCACTTCTGCACTTTCACCCAAACAATCCAACTTCTTGAGCAGAAGCAGTTTTAAGAATCAGATCCAAACACCCCTATATCTGTAAAATAACATTTTGCTTGTTATAACTCATACTAGCTAGTGCATCACTAATTGGTCTTTGTATAAAAATTATGTATCAAACTCAATGGCATAGTAAAAAGATATTAGAGCGAACCTCTACAAGAAACTCTCTGTGATAATTTTTTAAAATAGACATTTTTCATAATTTCATATGAGGGGCAAGCTTGGGTCTATTATGTCCCTTCTAGATATGTCATGAATTCAAGGGGTTTTCATAATTATCTCTTGGTTTGAGTCTCTCGTAGTACTCATTGAAATAGTAAAATCAATGTTTAAAATCAGATCCAAATATCTCAACAACTTAAAATTTAGCAACAACATCACGAACTTATTTACTTAATGCATCATTTCAACAAATTGAGTCTTATGATAAAAAAAATCACCCTTACGAAAAAAGGTTCTTATTATATACTTCTTCTCTACTATTTCCATTTAAAGAAACTTTTTTTTCTTAGATTATATTCAATAAACATTAATTTCTAAGTAAATTTCTCCAAAGCTAAGAGAAGTGGTTATAATCAACTTGATCTAGCAATCTTGGAAAATTGATCATTTTATAACTCGCAGATGATTGTAACTTAAACAGCAGTTAAGCCTGAATATAATATTTTGGAAAGAAAGCCACAAACTTGATGTTAGGGAATGGGAGGAAAATGGGCCGATGCTTCAGAAGGACGGGCTTGCCCGTTACTAGTTTATTGTCGTCGGCAGCGGGCCTAAGTGGGCTGGGCTGACTGTTGGAGTTTATTTTATTTAATTGTTATTTCTATTTCAGTTATTTTTGGATTATTAGGTTAAGAGTATTTGAGGAGGTCTTAAGGGTTATTATTCATTATTGAGAATAAAGATTTGGTTTGGGCCTAAGGCTAATGCAGTCGTTAATATCGTCTGCTAGGGTTTTCTACTTCTAGCACTTTGGTCCAACATGTCGGATCCTATCCACGCCCTATGTTCATCATGACTCGTTCCACCATTGATCAACGAACGCATGGATGCGATAGAAGGGACCAGAAGGACATCAGGGCGGAAGTGCAATCCACTTACGCCAAGTTGGATGCTTTCACCCAAACCCTAGAGTCAGGGGAACCGTTTTCTGATTCTGAGTCGGGATCAGAGGAGGAGGTACGACTGACTCGCAGAACTCCCACATCCCAGGGTAGGTCAGTGACCACGCCTCTTAGGCATTTAAAAAAATTGGCCCGCAATGACCTGCCCTGGCCCGCGACATTTGGGGCGGGTCCGTCCCGTCTTGCAAATGGGGCGGGTTTGCCCCTCCCCGCCCATACAATGAAGCGGGTCTGGGTATTAGTATTGACTCGTGCCGCCCTGGCCCGCCCCGACCTGACCCGCCCCGCTCAATATACAAGTATACATACTTTAAAAAAATATGTATATAACACAAATATACTTCTACATACATATGTGTATATAATAAATCATAAATTCTTTGGTCTTATAATTAATATTCTAATATTTATATTTGAATGAGATGAAAAATGAACTATTAATGTCTTTTTATCTATAGCATTTTAATTTATATATTGTATTATTAATATAAATAGATTAACCATTCAAGTCTAAATACTTTTTTCTTAGTTTCTGAATATTTTGTCGTATTTTGACTTTGATTTAATATATCATCTTTTTAATAAATATTCAAAAGATAAACTTTGTGTAGATTCAAGTGGGGACACCTTCACACAAATAGAAATGCATAGTAGCTAATTTGGTTACGGCGGGGCAGGGCACGGGTCAACAATTTTGGACCCGCGCGGGTCACGGGGCGGGGCGGGTCTAGCCATTGAAGTCACGGGGCAGGTTCGGGTCTTGCAGTATTTGCCCCGCTCCGACCCATTGTCATGCCTAGCCTGTGGTGCCACCAGCGTTTGAGGGGGGCAGACCAGATTGGATGGCTTGCCAGGGCCAATCTGTCGTTTGAAATCGATCAGATAGAACCGACCTTAGTTGAAGTTGGCGTCCGTCATGGTAGCAATGGAGGGTCTTGCTTTGTACTAGTTTTCTTGGACACGGTCGCGGAAACCAGACATAGCCTGTTGGGAGAAACTATATGTAACGAAAATTAACATTCAAATAATAATAATACTAATAATATTTAAATGTTATAAAATATGTAAAAGTTCTGAATTAAAAAATTCGATATTTTCTATTGTTTCCAAATTTTTTTTACATATATTCATTATTTTTACTTTTTTGTTTCTTTAAATAAAAAAATTAAGAATTGTATTCTCTATTTTGTTTTAATATATAAGAATCTGGTTTCAATTTTTTATTTTTTCAATTTTATCTACTTTTTTTGTGAAAGGAAAGATTTAGGTAGCCTGTTTTTGAAAAAGAAAATTGAAAGTGAAAAACCTGATTTTAATTAAATATACTATAAAAAGTTTTAAAGATTACTGAAAACCCGTATTTATAAACAGTTCCGTTGAAATAAATTATTTAAATTTTATGCTTATACGCGAAAATATCCTTCGCAATGAGTGAAATTTCCCTAGAAAATTTTAATTAAATAATTCGTAATAGGTACGTAAAATTTATAATGGACGTTGTAATAAACGACTGACGAATAATCATACTTAGCTTGACCACAAAGCAACGAGTCCAACCGGGAGAAAATGAGTTGTCATTAATTACTTTCGTTTTTGGAAACTAAAAAAAATTAGGAAAATAGCAAACCAGTCTGGAATTCTTTCTATATATAGAAGCCTAGGAGATGATCGATCAGTTCCCAAACATTCTCATGATTAATCAAACAAAACATAGAAAGAACAATGGAAAAAACAGGAAAGGGGAAATCAAAGATTCCGATCAAAATGATCGAGTCACGGAGCGCCCGGAATGTGTGCTTCTCCAAGCGGAGACAGGGACTCTTCAAGAAGGCATCCGATCTCTGCCGTCTATTTCCGGGAGTCAAAGTTGCGGCGGTCGTCTTCTCTCCGGCGGGAACCCCGTATGTGTACGGCGACCCAAATGGGATTTTCGAGCAGGGCGGCGGCAGTCCTCCTTCTGCTCTGTTTCCTTCGCCGGTATCCTGTGATCGGGGCGAGAATACTGCTTGGAATAGCGGCGGACCATTGGCTGACGAAGTTATTGAGTCAGTGATCCAAGAGGTGCAGCAGAGGCAACTGAAGGGCGGGTTTCCTGTTTTTCCTCCGCAGTATCCTTCGCCATCCTCTGTTCTGGCCGGTGGCGATCTTATTTCTGAGCCCTGCGGCTACTCACCGATTGAGAAGGAGACAATCAATACTCCAGAGATGGTTGGTTGGGAAGATGATTGGCTAATTGATGGAGAAGAAATCGAATCAATGATCCGAGAGTTGCAGCCGCAGCAGGGCGGCGGTCCTGCTTTTCCAGAATATTCCTCTCCGCCGTCCTCTGTTCCGGGTGATCGTCTTATTTCCGGCCCCTCAATTCAGCCGGAGATACTCAGAGAAGAAGATGTGAGTTCAATGATCCAAGAGTTGCTCTCGTAGCTACGACATACGGCCATGCCATTTTTCCATCAAATTTGGTTCGAGGCATGCAATTGGCACATAAATTAGCTAGGGTTACCATTTTGAGAATTGTTATTACTATAGTATTATGGGACGAACAAAGTTAAAGTTTTATCATTCCCATTATCACAATTACTGTATTATTACTAACATGATCTGTCCCTTTGTTATAACTGAGTGATTTTAATTCTTGTTTTAACTGAGTGATTTTTTATTGAATTATTTGTTGATTATAATTAGTATCAAGTTTTGTATGAATACCCCGTATTTTTTTACTCGTAATATTTATGGATGTATACTTCATGGTAGAGATGTGTACCTAGTTCTTGTTACTTGTGCATTGATTACATGTTATGGGATCATTTGTGAAGGATCTTACAATATTAGTTAGTGAATTTGTTTCTAAATTTTAATTGATTTCACAAGTCCAAACTTGGAGAGGACGTACGGAAGATGAAGTTATTAATTCAATCGAACAATTTATCTCGTCTAGTCGTCTGGCATGCGGCACTAATACACGACTAATTAAGTATCAACTAAATTAACAGTATATATGCCAGCTAATCCAGCCTATGACCATATCAAGACCAATAGAGGCAGGTGGAGAGTGTTAGTGATAGATGTAATTTCGTTTACTTACAAAAAAAAACTAAGAATCACAGACTAATTAATAAACTTTACATTTTCTCCCTACTTTTACTACTCACATCCTATATACCTCGATCATCACAAGATTACATGCATTTTGGTACAGTTTTTTCTATATACCATTTTCGATATTTTTAACACTTTTCTATATATCTCGAAGTGTTTACATTATGTATAATTAACTAATGTGTACTGTATTGATCTGATAAAGAGTAAGTCACTACAAGAAATCACGGAATTTAGTGGCGGAAAATCCGTCACTAAATCCGTCACAAAAGAGTTTACTGGCGGATATCTATGACCGATCGTCCGTCACTAAAATCTGGACATTATTATGTTTAGTGGCGGAATATTATTTCCGTCACTGATTCAAGACGGAATTTAGCGACGGATCTATCCGCCACTATGTTTTGTGACGGAGTTTCTGACACTAAATTCTGCCACTAATTCTTTTATTTTTTACAAAAATGGAATTCATACATATTTATAAATTCTGTTTTTAAATATCATCAATACTTTTAATACTACTATCCGTTCAAAATTATTACAAAATCAAAGCATACAAATTTTATAATTGAACTATTAAATATACAATCAAATAATAACAAATATGTCATAATAACCCACATTAAAATGTAGTGTACCATAAGAATATTCCAATAAATACATAGACCACATCAATATTGTTTAAAATGTGTACAGAATATTTGAAAGCTGAAACTAGATGTCTAATGGGATAAGAATTGTTCCTGCAATTCTTGAGAGCCTTGAAAGGAAGAATTGTATTGTGCGAAGTAGCTTGGATATTGCAGCTTTTGTTTCATTAGATATCCCAATTTCAACTTCAGATGATTGATTTGGTACACTTTGAACTTCATGGAAGGCATTGGTTAATCCTCGTAATAGCCTCCTGCAAATAAATAAAAATAAAGTGGTACAAGTCACTATACATCTAGAATACTAGATTAATAATCATTTTAACCCATTTGATAAAAACAAAATCTAATTTAGTAATAGATTGCATTTTAAATTTTCACAAAAAGAATAAACAATCAAATATAGTAACAACTCAATTAGGTAATCTTATTATGAAACATATAGCAGGCTGATTCAATCGGGTTATCACCTTCGGCTATTCTCACTGCTACCAATCCAGTTAGTTAGGTCTAGTGTGCCTATTCCGGCAGCCCGGATGCTTGCCAATCCAGGAGCCAATAAATGAATTCAGCCAACAGGCAATTCAAACTCTCTTCTTTTTTTGGGACATAAAATTAAGCCTGACTTGCTTAGCTTCAGCCACCTTGATTTTTTTAGGGGATACAAACTCGGAGTGATATCGCAAAATCTAAGCTTCTAAACAGCAAACCTGGCAAACTCAAATGCCAAGTAATGTCTAATGAAATGTAATCAAATGTGTGTAAAACGCAAAGTAAGAATAAAAACATACTGATATATTTCATTACAAGTCACTGCAGCCTACCAAACTAATTGCCTTACAAGATTAAGATTTATGAGATTGAAAATAAAATCCAGTTTATAGCAACATTCAATAGCAACTAATCTAGTTTCATTATAGCAAATGGTAATTAGTGGAGAAGCTAAAAAATAATTGCATACCATAACTTCCAATTGTGAGGAATGATCAATTAGCCCTCATTTCTCCTTTTCTTTGGATGAGTGCTTCACAAATCAATATTGTTTACACTTGTCCCCACCGACAATATGGTTCTTCTTAGCTGATTCAGACACCTTCTGAAATTGCTTAGTTATAAAATGGAATCAATTAATATGTTATAATTGAATTCTGTTTTATAATGAGGTGTTAATTGTTTTACAGAATTCATTTTATAAAATCCAAACTACTTAGCTTTAAAACATCAAGTAAATTTTCCAGACTTTGAAGAATGTTGTTGATTAACTTGATTTTGCTGTATAATTAAGTTCTTGCTTCTCATTGTTTTCTGCACTTTGATAACCCTGTTGCACCAATAGCTCCCACTTTTGCTAGTCAAACTGGAAAAGTTTATGTGTTAGATGATTCTGAACATGCCTACCACTTATAGTGCTTTGTTTTAAGATAGTTGTTTGTGTTTCATATCATCCTTGAAAAATATAATGGACCAAAACATATTAATACCAAAAAAAAGTGAAACATCGATGTACTTTTCTTGCTCATTATGCCCATTGAGACACCTAAACTGAGTCATGAGTTCCAAAGAAAAGACTACCTCGGTTCTACCTTCAAATTACTCACAATTGAAATCATAATCTCTGCTTCTCCCATTACTGGTATGTGAGCATTCAATATTTTAAACCTTTTCTAATCGCAATAACATAGATCTGTTTTAATTTCAGCAATTCGTTGTTCTTGCTTTACACTTACATAGGAGAGAAATACAAGTAAACTAGGAGTGGCCAGAATAATCTATACTAATATAAAAAGGGAAACCAAAGACCGGCGTAACTGTTCCCGCCTAAATGAGTTACGTTCTTCAGTACCGGCGTAACTGTTCCCGCCTAAATGAGTTACGTTCTTCAGTTTACTAACAAAAAGACCTATCGAATGGATTTATTATAATAAAATACCCGAGCATAATATAAAAGCAATAAACTAAAGCACATACTCCGTACAGTTACGTCTGATAGTTTCTCACAAGAGGTTATGGAACGACACGTTAGGTAGTTCTTCGGAATGGCCGTTTTATCCTTATACATGTGGACAATAAGTGATAGTTTGTAATAACTCATTTACAAAATGACGATTGCTAATGGATAAAATGCTCCAACACAAAGAAATTGAGCAACTTCTCTATATGGATGGGCAGATGGCGGTTAGTCGGATACCATATTAATGCTCAAATACAAAGAGATTAAAATTGTAGATCCCTAGCTAATGATGTCTTCTATAAAAACTGCACTTCGTGTGCAAGAGTGAGGTATCGTTTTTGAAGTTTTCTATTATTAACACATGTACTATGGCTTTTTAGAACTATATAGATCACCAAATTAAATGGCAGTCAAAATTACTTCAAATATTTAATTTTTGAAGTAGATCATCAAATTTTAAAACTATCGTTTTACTCTTTTTAAATTTTTTATTTGTATTGAAATACAAAATTTTATCAATTCAGGACTCTAAAGATAGACGAATTATCAATTCAGGACCCGAAAGATGAAACGTATCGGCTAGGACCCAAATGATGGAAAACTATCAATTTAGGACCTAACATTTCATAGGTTTTGATTTGTTTAATTTTTTATTAAGTCCATTACTGTTTTTTGGTAAACTTTTCATCACAAAAGTTTATTAGTTTAATAAAGCTAAATAATATTTAAAATTTTAAAATAAAAACAAATTAAAATTTATGACAAGTTAGGTCCTAGATTGATAGTTTTCAATCATTCAGGTACTAAATTGACAGTTTCTCATCATTCGGATCCTATATCGATGCATTTCATCTTTCATGTCCCGAATTGATAATTCGCCTATCTTTCAGATTCTGAATTAATAAAATTCCTTGAAGTGGGTATCAATGTTTTCTTATCATGATAATATAGATTTAATTTAGTTGTCTTAGAGCCCGTTTGGAGAACTCTGTTTTCGGCTTATCAGGCTTATCAGCCAGCTTTTTCACCAAACACGTAACTTTTACTTTCGCGCGCTGAATTGTGTAATAAGCCGAAAAAGTAAGGTCGGAGTTACTTTTCTGGCTGTATTGGCTGAAGTTACTGTAGAGGACCATTTTAGCTATTTTTACATATAATTTTTTCTTTAATTTATAAATAAAATATATTTTTAAAATATTTTTTTTCTTAAATCAGTAGAATCAGCCAAAACAGCCACTCCAGCCAGAATATCATAAATTTCAGCAGAATCAGCCAAAACAGCCGATTTTGGTGCTACCAAACGGGCTCTTAGATTCAATTGAATCAGCACGGGCTGGCTGATTCAATTGCTTTTTTATGTGATGCTATTCTTTAAGCAATCAGTTTTTATTATGGTTAACTTTATATTATCTATTGTGTCAGAATCAGTATACATCAAATAAAAAAAATGACAAGAAACATTAAAGACACTATAAGTATGTTCATAATAAATGTCCTACAACTAGAATTTTAAAATGCGGTATTTCTTTGGTACCTTTACATATTTATTTTATATTTGTAATTTGTACAACTTTCCATGTTTTACAAAATACATGAATCTCAATTTCTTTAATAAATTCATATACTATGTATATGATACATACATTAGTATTTTCATTTAATTGATAAAACAACATAAATAAAATATAAGAATAATTTTGACCCGTGCATCGCGCGGGTATAATACTAGTTGAACAAAACAAACTTACCAGACTAGTAGATAGCAGAGCCGTAGAAAATAATTTGCTTAGTACAGTCGAACAGGAGAACAGCGGCTTCGACCCGATGTAGTACTCGGTGCAGTGCTCGGTAGTCGGTAGTCCAGCCAAACCAGTACTGTAGACAATAATCCACCGCCTACTAATCGATGTACTGCTCGGACGCTTGGTGCTCGGTTCTGGCGCGCGATTCGTAACCCAATCGCGGAATCGCAGCTCCCCTCTTGTTTTCTTTAGTCTTCATATCCCGGTGGTTCAATCGCTTGG